TCTGTTTCTAGGATGCCAAGTAATACAGGAAGGTATTACCACCTGTGAGCCCGATGGAGCATGTGGAGGAGACTATTACCAACGCCCAGTAGAGCAAGAGCCTCAGCGACAGACTTGTCTGGCGGGACAGGCTCATGTAGGGACTTGGCCTCTGCGAAAGGTCGGGGCAGGGAGTGGGAAGTGCTCTCCTTTCTCTCCTCCTCCCCACTTCTCCTAAAAGGATGAAGTGTGTTTATCCATTTAGCGAAATGTAACAGGTGTCTCGGTCCATCCGGGCTGATATAATAACATGCCACAGATTGGGTGGCTTAAAAACAACAGAAATGTATTTCTTACAGTTCTGATATCTTAGAAGCCCATGAGCCGGCAGCCACCTGGGCCATTGAGTCCCCTCTTCTGGGTCACTGGCTTCTCTTTGTGTCCTCATGCTGTGGAAGTGCCCAGAGGACATTGTGGGAGCTCTTTCCCACAAGTGGCTCACAGTGATGCCACCTGTGAGGGCACCACCCTCATGACCAAATCACTGTCCAAAGGCCCACATTCTAATGCCATCACCTTCAAGGGTCAGGTTTCCAAGTTCAAATTTCGAGGAACACAGAAGCATTTAGAGTGAGTGGCAGGTAAGAGAGGTCACTATCTTAGGTCCCTGAGCAGAAGGGAGGAGGATCAATCGGGAAGGAGGGCCTACTTGACCAGCCTAACAAACATTTTCTCTTCAGTTCAGTCATCATATTGGTACCCACTTGATCTTTATCAGTGCTCATTTCATTGTATCCATTTTTCTAGCTCTAAATCTCTCAAGCACTTCCCACTGCTTGAAGGAATCGTCCATACAATCTCCAGATTATATACAGGATTCAGTCAGTCTCTGCCCCCAGGTCATTTGCTTATTCCTTTATAAACTGTTAAAGGTTACTGTCAACTCATGCATACCTCAGAGTATAGGCTATGCCATTAATGATTAAGAGCACAAATCCATGTTTCAAGATGCTTTCTTACTAAATTTAAATTACTCTAGACAGCTTTTGCCTGTAATTAGATTGTCACTATGGTTTTGCTGACTGCCATGTGAATTGGGGAGAGATCATCTAACGCATATGAGACCTCAAAGAACCCACATAATGTGGCCATGTGCTCTTAGGCAGAGAGAGGTATATCCAGGCTGTGCAGGCTACAAAGGCCGAATGTATTTAAGGGGTTGGATAGGTGTTTGATCTTAAATGAATTGTGGGAATTCTCAGATGGTTCTGGTTGGCAGCAGGGGACTAAATGATTTAAGCTTGAGTGTAGTCAGATTGCAATAATAATAATAGCTCCACTTTCACAGCACCTACCATGTGTCTGGCATGGTGCTAGTTACACATATCATTTCTTCTCCCTGTCATCGCAACTGTTGGGTGGGCATGAATCTGAGAGAAATAAAGGAATCTACTCAAGATCACAGTGAGTGAGTGGAGGAGCCAAGATTTCAACCCATAACTATATGTGGCCTTGACAGAGTCCTCTTCCTCTTGCACATCACCATTGAGGCACTAGAGAAGATGTTCTCTTCTGCAGGAAGGCCCATGCTCTCTAGTAGGAGTCAGTGGCTTAGAACGGAGGGTGAAAGAGGCACATCTACAAGCCACATACAGTATGATTCCCAACTCTGTGACATTCTGGAGAAGGCCAGTCCTGGAGACAGTAAAAACTGTGGGGACAGATGTTGCCAAGTGGGGAGGAGGAGGGAAGGAATATTTAAGGGCAGTGAAACTACTCTGTGTGGTGCTCTAAGGACAGTGCATACCCTATAATCGTACCAACCCATAGAAAGCTCAACACCAAAGCAAACCTTAATGCTGACTATGGACTTTGGATGATAATGATGTGCAAGGTAGACTCATCAGTTGCTAGAAAAGCACTACTCTGGTGAAGGATATGGGAGGGATATGCATGTGGGAAGGGAGCATACCCATGTGCTTAAACCTTCCCTTCAGTTTTACTATGAATCAAAAACTGCTTTGAGAAATATGGTGTCGGGCCCTCCCTGGTGGTGCAACAGGTGGGAGCACAGCACTGAAAAGCTGGCCGCAGCCGCTTCCTTGCAAATTCAACCTAGCCCTGGAGATGATCCACATGGCGCGGCAGGCCTCTCCTGACCCGCCTGCTGCACTCCTCAGCAGTGTACTCCATCAGTCTGTCTGTTCTGCTCCCCGCTCTGACTATGATGAATCCTCGCACTGCCCCTACACCTCTGACCTGTACGCCATATGCATAAATAAATAAGTCTTAAATAAAAGAAATATGTTCTTTAAAAAAATATTTATTTATGCATACAAGAAGTGGGGTATAGGCCACAGGTGTGGGGGATGAGAGCATTCACCAGGGACAGGGTGGGGAGCAGAGCAGGCAGACTGGTGAAGTACAAGGCTGGGGGTAGTGGGTGAGGCAGGAGAGGTCTGCTGCGCCATGTGGGTCAGCTCCCTGGCCAGGGATTGAGTTCATGTGGCAGTGACTGCAGATAGCTTCATGGAAAGCCCCAAGAAATTCAGCCTTCATGGAAAAACAAAGATGATACGGACACGGGGTTGAGCCTAGAAGGATAGGAATGGTTGGAACAGAGTAATACCTCCCAGAGCGGCAGAAGAGCAGTGTGGAGTCCAAAATAGTGCATCGGGAAATGCAGAGCTCAAACGGCACTGATTACAGAATAAACTGTTCTTATCGAAGATTTGAAGTATTCACAATGCACTTCGGACACTGCCCACACTCGGAGCCAGCTTCCCATCAGTCTGTTCCTTCTCTCTGCTCACTTTTTAATGTCACATTTCATATATGCTCTGTCTCCTGTGTTGCATTAATAATTGGTCTGATCACAGTCTGTAAGAAGAAGAGGAACTGTAATTGATTGAGCTATGCACTTACAATGTGTGCATTTTCCTTGTAAAGATGACATTTAGTTAAAAATAAAGGGAAAATTTGATTTGTGTCGAGTTGAAAGAAATCAAGGATATTGTTGTAGCCCCAGTTCTTTGGTAGGTCCAAACAATTCTCCAACTATGGTTTTAAATGTGGCAAAAAAAAGAAGCACTGGGTAGGAGAGAGGAAACTGGTTTTGTAGCTCCAGCTCTGCCTCTCAAGGAGCCGTTGAGGTAGGCAAGACACCAATCCTCATTTTCTCAGGATACATACATTTTCTCATGTATACATATATATATATACATGTATCTCATGTGTGTGTGTGTGTGTGTGTGTGTGTATAGTCCGTGAGTCCCTGATATTTAATGTTCAGTGTATTAGAAAAGTACCACGTGCTAGAGATGCCCCTGTCATCCTCAAACTAGTCCCACGCGTGTACCAGAACAGAAGCTCACCTCCAGCCTAGCTGCAAGTCCCCCATATCTGATATTTTAGAACAGAGGTTGGAAAAAAGCTCTGGAAGTGTGCCAGAGAGTAAATATTTCAGGTCTCACAGATTGTGTAGTGGCTGCAACTACTCACCTCTTCTGCCCTAGTGAAAGCAACCACACACGGTTTGCAACTGGGTGAGCATGCGTGACTTTCAGTAGGGCTGTCTGACCACGGCAGATGGCGAGCCAGACTAGACACAGGCCGGCGTTTGTCCATCCTCTTCTAGCACATAGCTGGTTGATATTCGGTGCAAATTCCATTGTCATTTTCCTTCAGCATATGTAAGGGAAAACATACGCTTGTGATAGCCAGATAAGTAGGGCATTAGAGGGTTGGAATGTGAAAGAAAGAAAGGACAAGAGGGAAGAAGACTGAAGATCAGAGAGCCTTGTGAGGGAGCACAAGAAAAGAAAATTCCAGTGACATCTGCCACAAGGGCGAGGCATTGTCAAATTGGAGAAGTTTGGCCTTTAACATGAAGCTAACAGCTAACTTTGGAGGGACAGACTGTATGTGTGTGTGTGGGGGTGTGTGTGTGGCTGCGATACAGCCATCACCTTGTGAAAGATAACTTGGGCACTTGAACATACTATGATGCCAGGTGCCAAGCGGAATCTCATGGAGCTTTTGTCAGAGAAGGGAAGGAGAAGAATTATCCTCATTTCTACTCTGGAGCACTAGTGCCACTAAGGTTGAGCTCAGAGCTGTTGTTCCTGAGGAATCCACAAGGAGACAGAATTCTAGGAGAAGGACATGAAATTTTGCCCCTAGGAGAACTTTCCAGCATCCTCACAGTCCAGTCCTCCTCCCCGTTGGAAGAGGTCTCTGCTGGCGTCTGGAGGACCCTCTGGCCTGGAGCCTGAACTGTGTGTGTGGGCTATCTCGGGAGCTGGAAGGAGGCCTGCAGGCCCCTTTCCTTGTTTTCATGAGGTCAGAGGCAGAGGTGCTGTGCTCTCCCCTCCCACCATCTTCCTCTCTACCCGCTTTTGATTCTGAATTTGGATGTGGCAGGTAGGCGCAGAGAAGGGTAAGATGAGGATGGACTTGGGGGAGGAAGCCACATGCTGGTTTCACTTGGCGCTGATGGCATCTTGAGAAGGTGGTCAGGCTTCACAGAAGGGACATGTGAACTGTCTCCAGGTCGGACAGTCTAGTCTGTGTCGTCACACAGATGGAAAAGGAGAGCTGGGTTTTTCAAAGGTCTCAAAAACTTGGGGTGTGATTACATTGATTAACCAACAAATCTGTAAATTTCATGCAAATCACGTACTTAATATAGAACTGGATTACTGTTTGCAGTCGACTGTACTAATTCATTAATTTTACTTCACAGACTAAAGTTTTTACTATGCAAATGTATGCAAATCTATAGGAAAATAGTATTCTTAGCCAAGTGCACCAACACTTGTTGGGTTTCTTTTTTGTCTTTGGTTTGGTTTCCTGGAATTGTGCCATTGGGGTGGAAAGTGAGATAGTAAATACATTCAATATTTGAAACTGTGGCTAAACAATTTTCTAAGGGTTGGTTTAGGAAAGAAATTCCGTAGAGAAATTTTGTGGTGATTGGCGTGTTTTTTTTTTTTCCCTCTTCCCCCCCACCCCCGAAACAGAATGAAGAAGATGAGTAATATTTACGAGTCGGCTGCCAACACACTGGGGATCTTTAACAGCCCCTGCCTGACCAAAGTGGAGCTGCGTGTGGCGTGCAAAGGCATTTCTGACAGAGACGCCCTTTCCAAGCCAGACCCTTGCGTCATCCTCAAGATGCAGTCCCACGGGCAGTGGTTTGAGGTAGGTGTGTGAGCTGAAGTGGACACAAGCATGGCTGGAGGGTTGGTCTGAACATGTTTGGGAATGTCCCATCTTCAGGTAGTTGGTTTTGGCGAAGTGGACACTTCTAGAACTGACAATGTTCTGATCTCTGTTCTGTGTATATCCTGGTGTTTCGATGTGGCTGTTTTAATGCTGTGGATATTTTGACATTTGCTTTTTAATTTGAGAGTCTTTACATGTCAAGATATAGCATCCTGGATCTCACTCTCGGTGCTTTTTACTAATGACCAAGAAATACTCGTGTCCAGTTATTGACAAAGGACAGAGAGCAGGAGGGTCAGGGAGAGGAGAGGCATGAACCCAGCTCCGAGATCATGCTAATGTGAGGGGGCTGATGCTCCAAAAGGTGGTTCCAGCCAGTAATCCTCACAGCCAAGCCAGAGTGTAGATGGGAATTAATTAGGGTTCTAGGATTGGTGGCTCTGAAGGACTACATTTTGGGGGGCTGGGGAAGATCACTCAGGTAGAATGAACTCCGTGGGTGGGAACCCTTCCAGTCCCACAGAAGCCCTGGTCACTATGTGCCTAGGAGGCCAGCTCTGTTCCTAAGAGCTGGACTGGGTACTTGTTATCAGGGAGTTGGCTAGAATTGAAGAATGGAAACCAAGACTGGAGGCCAGTGCTTGATCAAGCCCAAAACAGGAGGATAGGAGGGGAGCTGAGTTCTAGAAACAGTTGTCTATCTGGTAGCTAGGAGTGTGAGAGAGCCAAGAGGGATCCCAGAACATGGTTGTGGATCCCAGGGACTGAGAGGGTGTTTATTCCATACCGCAAGGGTGGACAGGGTGAGCTGTAAGTGTGCCTCAATCTGAGTTGGTTGGGGATTACACAAAGCTGAATCCTGCTGGTGGAGCTCATCCATAGACTCAGAAATAAGAAGACTTGGGTGCAGAAAGGGAAGGAAGAGCACCTGCAAACTCATCATTATTATTGACTTTGGAAAGTAGTCAGTCCATTTCACGCATCCCCACATGTGCTATGTGAAGTATCTGCTTGTATGTAGAGTGTTGTCGGTTCTCCATACAGCAGAGCAAATGTAGTCCACACATCAGCACTGTGAAGAAATACAGATAGAGACACAGAGACAAAAAGGCCCAAGATCATTCAGCTCATACACTGAACACCAAATGTTTGCACCACACAGTTGGCTCCAGAGTCCAAGCTCATTGTTGCTACTTGATAGCGATGGTGGCTACTGGTGTAGATTTTGGTGGTTTGTGTGACGATAGTGCAGATCGAATTCCCTACTTGTGTTTTTTTTTTTTTTGAATATTTAAAAGTTGATACAAATTGGATGAGGACTGTTTTTCTGAGTTGTTTACAAGTTTTTTTGTTTTTCTGTGGATTTTTTGGGGGTGTGTGTGATTTGATTGTAGTATAAGATTTCTTAAATGCTTTTAAAGATCTGGTCTGTTCTAAGTGGTGGGATGGGAGGAGCTGTGAGTGCAGCAGAGAAAGCAGCCAGTATCCTTCAGGAGGCAACCAGGCATCCAGGAAGATTTGGAAAAGGGGCTGAAGTCATGTTGGGGAGAGCAGGAGTTGGCCACCACCTGTGTTGGGGTCCCTCAGGAAAAACTCTTGGAGCCTTTACTATTTCACCTCCTATATACAGATATCTGGGAGTTCTTTAGGGGGAACAGTTCTGCAGTGCACAGTAGAAGGAAGTTCTCGAAAGAGCTAGCACATTTGCTTACACACACATATGTGATAAAAGCCACTTCTCTGAGAGGGAAGTTGCTTACAGGTTGGTGAGCAGATGATACTCAGATGAGGTGTCACGTGCACAGGGAACAAATGACAAATGGGCCACTTGCAGATCTTAGCTTCGGGCGTATGCAGAAAGAGATCAGTGACCAGCAGTCAAACCCAGCGACTCATAGTTAACTTGGAGAGTCATGTACACAGACATCAAATGGTGCATGTTTACTTAGTGTGCGCATTGATTTTGGGGTGCGAATTTTGCAAGTGAGTCTATGTTTTGAATTAGAAGCACCTGACAGCCTGTGGACCAGGTGGCTGCTGTTTGCGTCGGCGCAGAGGGGTAGCACCATGGACAGCGCCGCGCCGCGCAGGGCGGTGCTGTGCCTGCTGCAGTCCCGCCGGTCGCCGGGGTTCACAGGAGATTTCTGCCTGAATTGCAGACTCGAAAGAAAGTTTTTGTTGTTGTTATTAGGTCCGTGGGTGCCACATTTTATGTGAAATCTCTTGTTTCATTAAATATGGAGGGAAAAAAACTAAGAGACTAAATGATTTGCATAATGCGGAGATTGTTGGGGGTGTCAGAATGCGAATAAAATCAACAAGGGGTACTTATCTCTCAGAGAGAATTTCAAAGTTTGGTAAAAGAAAGAGTCGGAAATCCCTTTTCAAAAGATGATTCCCCCAAAGAAAATGTGTGCTGTATATAAATATACACACAATCGAATATTTCTCAACTATTAAGAAAGATGGAATCCTGCCATTTGCAGCAGCATGAATGGACCTGGAGGGTATTTGCCAGGTGACATGCATCACATGGGGCAGGGCAACACCGTGTGACTCCACTAGTATGTGGTACACAGAAAAACTAAGCAAGCGAATGCACAAGATCAAAAAACACATACATGAGATTGGAAGACCATATTAGTGCTATCAGAAGGGGAGGAAAAAGGGGTGAGTAAATTGGGACAAAAGGTGAGTTGAATCATGTAGAACAGAATTGGAGTTTTAGTAGTGAGCTTAATGTAGCTTGTGTACATGTTGATCTGCAGTGGTGCACACCTGAAACTGACAGAACATCGCAGGGCTTCTTCAATTAAGACAGGGATATTAGCAGGGATGACTATGAAGTATTAAATAAAAACTAATAAAAAAATCCTTGGCAAAGGGGGGGTGGGGAGGGAAGTGCACGGAATTATGGTGATGGCACACGGGTGACTTGGTGATGGGAAACCCGTGGAGATTACAGTTGAGATGGGGGGAAAATGTACAAAATGATGTAAAAATAAACTGTTATAAAATAAAGCCTCTCTTGGCAAAGAGAGGCTTTATAGACCAGCAATGTCCAGTGAGACGTACTGCAGAAGTGGAAGTGTTCTCTGCCCTGTCAGTTCATGAGGGCCTGGCCACATGTGGCTACTGAGCACGTGCAAGGCAGATAGGATAGCTGAGGGGCTGAAAGTTTTAATTATTTAATTTTAATTCCTGCAAGGGTACATGATAATAGCCATGTCAATTCTAGGATATTTTTGGTGTGATAGAGCACTTGACTGAATTGGGAGAAGAGGAAAGGAAGTTTGTAAAAGCAAATGCTACTGTGGGTGATTCATTTTGCTTTTTGGTGGAGAGTGTGGGGAGCAGTAACTAGAGATTGGCATTTTATTCTTACTGTGATTGCTGGCCTGTGCTTTCTAAAATGGAATTCCAGCAGCGTAAGTTCCCATCACATTTTGGGTTATTGCCACGGTAGTTATAACTACCTTTAGATGTCCTGCCCATCTTGGGAGAACACTGTTCTTTTCTAATTGTCTGCAGACCTCTAACGTAGTTCATAAAAACACAAGCCTGGTTTTTAGACTCAAACATAACCATCTGACCTTCCATGCTGCTCTACTATTAGGCGTCTATAAAGATAAATTGCATTTCTTTGAAATATTTGGAATCATTATTCTGACATAACAATAGACTGTGGCTTTCTGCAGACAAAAAGGATTCGGACCTCAGTCTAAGGACTGAGAAGAGAGAGGGTGCTTTTTGTCCTCCTCCCCATCCCCAGAATATAGAGTAGGGAGTGTATTTTTAGTGGGGGAAACTTTTAGTAAATATGTAATGGCCGTGATTGTTAACTGCCAGAAAGGAAGACAAAATGTGTAACTTGGAAATACATTCCAAACTGAGAGCTTCAGACCTATCATTTAGTTTTCCTGATTGACAGTGATACTTATTTAAAGAAACCTCCCCTGCGCCCACTCCTGGCCATATAATGGTTATAGTATAGGGTGCAGGTCAGTGTATGATAATTAAAAACACATTTCATTTTCCAGTGAAGGGTGGAAATAATTTCCTTCTGCCTTGTGGTGATTACTGGTGTATTCACTAGCTGCTGGAACTAAACATCATATCCAAGTGGGATAAATTAACACTTCTCAGGGATTCAAAAGGCAAGGCCCCTTGTGAATGAAAGACTTGTGTTTCATTTCTTGAAACATATGTTCTATTCCATGGGCATGTTGGATGTTCTCCATGAAGCAGAACTAAGCTCATGATGTTATGCCCTTTGGCAGAGATCCTATAAATGGCAGAGTACTTGTTTTCATTGGAAAAAAACAAATTACTCCCCATGCTATGAGGGCTTTGCTCCAGTTGCCTTTTAATTCCATCTTCCATTCAATTTTAATACAGTTATTGAGCTCCTCCATAAGAAGGTCTAAATAGTTCTAAGTTAATTACCCTTGGGTCAATTTCATATGAAGATATGTTATGGGGAGTCATAGGCATTGGTGGGTGGTTAGTAATAATAACAATTGTAATAATTGCAATCATGAGTGTAGCTATAGCTAACACATCAGTTATCTCTTGACTCTAATGAAAGATTTATTGTTTATAATAATCATGGACTCATGTAACACTTTGTAGAGCCCATCTATTTACATGACTTCATTGTCTCCCTACATAACAACTCTGTGAAAAGGTGGGCAGAGACATTGAACTTAACCACAACATGTATTGAATCCCAAGGAAAAGCCATGGTTTCTGTGGATTCCATAGAATCCAGTGGAAGTCACTTCATCTCAGAGGAAGAGGGTTGGAGTCTCCGATGGTCACGTGACCTTTAGAACGGTCTCAAACAAGGTCTATCTTAAGGCTCTTCCTTTCTGAGATAGTAAACCATCTCAGATGTACATATGCAACTTTCATCCGTGCATGAATAAAAATCAATCAGATTTTCAACTCTCCATTGCTGACATTTTCTCTCCCCA